GCTGAAGTGCCTGTCTTAGATCTGTGGCTGCAGTGCCAGCTTGCTCTGTTTCCGTGTGCTCAGTGGCCATGTCCATGGAAAGAAGGATTTCTTGAATTTTGCACAAGGCAAGGCTTTGTGGTTGTTTCGAGTATCGTCGACAGTGACAAACTGATGTTGAAAGAAACTCGGGACTGCATGCTGGCTGCCTACCCAAATAAGAGGTATGACTCTTTGCAGTTCTTGTTTGTCCAAGTCATCGGTTTCGTTTCTGAGGGATTGATATATTTGCTCCAGACTACTGGAACTGTAATCAGCCTTAGTTGGTGAGATGCAGAAAGAAATGCAACTTCTATCAGTGACCCCAAGCGTCGTTTGGACTGGGACAGCGTTCGTATGCAAACGAAAGCGAAAGACTTCAGGGATTGATTTGATCTCTTCATGGATTTTTGGGGCGAGCACTGCACTGTTGCATAACCAACTTTCAGAGTATTCGACGCAGGGCGATGTAACCTCGATACTTCCTGTAGCAAAGGAGGAGTGAAAGATAACAAAATATATGCTTTTGGTGATCTTTTTCTTGTTGCCATCAGGCGAGTAAATGAAATCCTGGTACTTGGAAATACAATGCACTTGGGATAGGTGTCTGCGAAGCGAAGAACAGACTGCAGTGACCAAATCGACACACGTGGCATTGACAAAACACTCATGGAAAAGACAAACGTAAGAGAGCTTGTCAGCTTCTTGGTATAGCTGCAGGACATTCTTCTGAAAATGCGCTTGTACTTGAAACAAGACAACTGAGACTGACTGGGTGCCTGCCAATGCAGACTGCAGAATTCCCATTTCATCCTCACTAATAACTTTCAGGTCTTCATGATAGTGGGACATGTTAATGGCACTAGGGAAGCGGCAAATGAAAAATATTTTGCGCGTAGCACCGATAGGCTGTACAAGATGTCTTCTAAGCAATCCTTGTCCAACAAAGGACTGAAGTAAATCATCATATATGGCCTGCGCAATAAGACAGAAGGCTTCCTTATCTAACATGGCAAAGGAAATGCCGAAAAGCCAAAGACAGCAACTTGGATTGCCGTCCAGGCTATGCGTGGCAAAGGGCGCAAAAAAGCAAGGTGTGACAACAGTATCTTGGGATACCGCTGAAGCCAGTATGTCGAAAGCACAGACCTCTAAGCTACCTAAGCGGGGTCCCAACAAGCTACAGAGGAAGTCTCTTCTCTTTAAGAGAGTTCCTTGAACCTCCTGCCCACCTGTTAGGTGGGTTTGAACCGAAAACTTGAGCCAAAGTGGCTACGGAACCAGAGTGCTGCTTCCTTGAGGCTGGCATCACCTCGTTGACCCTGCCTCCAGACTTTACATGGATTGGACCAGCCGCCTGTGAACGCTGCCTGCAGCTGCAGCGGGTGGATCTCTCAAGAGCCGAAATTACGGAAATCATGGGCTCCGCTTTTGCACACGGAACACCTCCGAATTTTGGAACTCCCACATAAGCTGCGAATCATTGAACAAGAAGCCTTCCTCAAGTGCAGCTCCTTAGCGGAGGTCAGTGTGCCACCCACTTTGCTCTATATTGCGAGGCGTGCCTTCGCTGGCTGTACACAGCTCAGCCAAATTCAGCGAGCTGGCAAATGCAAGACCTGGAGAGGAACATACTCCAGGCCCAATGCTTTCCTGAAGTGTGACAATCTAGACATGCCCCAGTGGGTTCGCTGGTTGCCGCGCACGCCAAAAGATGAGGACCAATGCTCCTATGAAATCCACAATTAGTGCTAGAGCCTCAGGCAGGTATGCAGCAGAACACTCAAGTGGCCCCCGAACACTGGCTCTGCAATGTCAGCGGCCACCTCGCTTTGTGTACTCCAATCAACAAGCTGCGTCGAAGAGACTCCTGGTACACCCCTTGGAAAATGCCACTGATCGGGAACAAGACAACAGTAGGACCTCACAGACACACATGACTGACACACATGACAGGCCCGCATTACTGTTCGCTTCGGGTCTCCAAATGCGGGCTACCAAGTCACCAAGCCAGCCTCTCAGACTAGCACCCGTGTGTTGGTCCTGAGAGAGCCTCTTCACTATTGCTGCACTTTACCTTCGCTAGCCTGAGTAGCTCGACAGTGCCCAGACTGCTGCCCGTGTAGTGGTACTGGAAGGGTACAGTGTACAGACTTAGGAAAACGGCGTTTCACATGTCTCACCTGTTTTCGAGTAGCTCATGGGGCCTTGCACGTATTGGTCAGAGATTACTTGCCGCGTTTGAAAGGGAAAGGATGATACCGCCGGTGACATCCAATGAAGGATGCCCACCTGTTTGCAGTCCGCATGATCTGCTGCAACATGTCTTGCCTCCCGTTGCTGAGCCGTTTTGGAGTCGGGGCAGTACTGATGTGCTCCCCCGATGCCTCCACCCCTTGGGAGGAGGAAAGATACATGAAGTCCAAGTGGCCCTTCTGCCCTATACCGCGTGGCAAAACACTGCGTCTTGTCGTTTGGCTCGCCCTAGCCCGATAGGTGCAGTCTCTACGGCAGAAAATTTAGCTGAAGAGTTGGAAGATTACCGCCAGCAGCTTCTTGCAATGGCCGCTCCGCCCGAGTGCCCGACTGATGCCTCGCAAGGCGGTCTCCTTTTCATGCGAAGCGCCACCTCTACGCGCTTACTAAAGACGCGTCGCTACAAACACGCGCGCAAACGACCTACGTCCCACGAACGAACGGACGAGCGACCGAGACGACTCACCAAGCGGGTGCAAAACAAACTCCAGCAAACTTTTCACTCAGGCAGCTCCGGCTTCGGTTCACCACCCCAACAAACAAGGTGACTTTCGTGTACATCTGCTTTACATCTGTCTTTTGGCTTGTCTATGCCTTGTCTGCTCTCTTGAGCCAAACATTAGGCGATCCAAAAGCTGCTCTAGCAGATCGCCATTCCAACCGTCAAATTTCCACGTGTCAAGTTCTCAAGACACAAAGTACATTCTCAACTCTAAGGTTGCTTTGGGGAAAATGCCAAAACACACGAAAGTGCTATCAAATGATGGTTTCGTTCAGCACTTGAAAATCCTATACAGCTCGTGTGCTCAAATCTGCAAACATCTAGCTCTAAAGCTCGTCTCAAATCTGAATTCCACTCATGCCCCAAGGACATGTCATTTTGACATTTCAGATGGTCAAAATGACCATCTCACCACATCATCACTTGCGCAAGCCAGCTCAAGCAACAAAGGGCCTTCACCAGCCATCGTAGTGCATCCAACATGCTCTGCTGACATCACACCAGCATGCAACGCAGCACTCAAAAGCACACTGCACCAAATGGATCTCTGATCCCACAGCTAACCAAGCAAACCCTGACCTTCCAATGTCTGTGTGTGGCGCGGTCGTTGGTCAAAACTTGCCGAAAAAACGTCGGTGAGCCAAAAAAACGTCGACCACGCCGTTTTTTAGACGACCCCCGTTTTTTGAACGTCGAGCGCGCCGAAAAAAACGTCGTTGTCCATTTTTTGGCGCGTACGCTTTTTTAGGCTGGCCCTAGCTATATGATATCGATAGCTATATCTCTGGGTTTCCTGCGCGCGTTTTCCTAGCATGCGCCTTGCCGCGTGTCTAAATTTTTAGGCCGGAGCCCAAAAAGCGTACGTTTTTGCTTCTCTCCTCATATTATTCGCTTTCTCTAGGCCAATTTGCTTTCATTCTTTTTCTTTTTCCCTTTCCGGGTGGATTTTGAGCGTACGCTTTTTGCCTTTCTCCTCAAATTATTCCCTTTCTCTAGACACATTTGCTCTCGTTCCTTTTCTTTTCCCTTCCACGTACATTTTGTTCTGCCGGAACCAAAAAAGCGTACGCTTTTTGCATTTCTCCTCAAATTTTATTTTCTCTAGACACATTTGCTCTCATTCCTTTTCTTTTCTCCTTTCCGGCTACAATTTTTGTTCGGCCGGAACCAAAAAAGCGTACGCTTTTTGCTGATGATCATGAGTTCCCTTAATTTTTACTTTTCTGGCCCTGCCGGAACCCAAAAAGCGTACGCTTTTTCCGCGCGTTTTAGCAAAAACGCACGTTTTTTGCAAATTTGACTAAAAGAAAGTATATCGCACGAGCACGAAAACCTAGAGCTTGCCAAAATACCGTCGACCCCTGCCAAAATACCGTCGACCCCTGCCAAAATACCGTCGAGCAACGTGAACAAAAAACCTAAAAAAATCAAAAATTGATTGAAAAACCATTGTTTACATATATATGCCTTACAAATATCTTTATATGAAGCAGTGTGGAGCTGAGTGGACAACCCCCAGGCACGTCCAGTTGGGCCTCCTCCACCCTGATCAGAAGTCACGTGAGTTGGCCAGTCCCTGCAAGGCCATTCCCGGCATTGCAGCCTTGAGAAGTCAAAGCACAAGCCCCGTGACCAGTGCACTTGGTCGGTACCCCTTTGAGCCAAGCAAGTCACGACAACAAAAGGTTCAAACGTGAGTGTTTGCCAATCATCGTAGTAGAAATTGGCCAGAAAGCTGGACAAAGGTATAACCATTTAAAGCTTGTCAAGCATTTATAGTGTATGGTGCTGAATCGTAATAAATGGTAATTCATCTCCAGACCAAAATAGCTCCAATCCAACATGAAAGCAAGATCTGTGTTCAATTTTCCTTCCCTCATAGTTTGCAGAATTCACCCTGAAAAGCGCCCTTGCCAAAATATGGTCAACCCGCCAAAATACGGTCAACCCCCGCCAAAATACGGTCAACCCCTGCCAAAATACGGTCAATCAATTTCACAGCCAGTGTGATCTTTTTTTTACCTTTTTCGGTTGCGGAGACCAAGCCAAAAAATGATCGACTGTGACTGACGTGGTCGTTTGAAGGTCAGGGAAAGCGTCAAAGGCCATGATGCAGCGCAAAGCTCTCACCACACATCCAAGCATCGTGAGTTCAAACATGCCAGTCAGCAAGGATGCCACATGGTTCATACTGGATTTCCACACCCCCTTTTGGCATCGTTGCTCATGCCTTCTTCTTCAAGATCCTCCGGTCCTGCGTGCCCGGAATAAAGGTCGGCAGCTGGCGCTCACCTGCCTTTCCATGGCGTGCCTCATAGGCCTGCACATAGGAGATGAAATCTTTGAACTGCCCCTTCATAGTGTTAGCCCGAGCCATCAACCAACGACAATACTGTACATGGTCAGAATCTGTCGACGAACGAAGCTCCTCATAGCACAATCGCTCTGCCGCAACCTTGCCACCTGTCATCACAGTCAATCCCCATGTATGTAGGTCCGGAACTCCCTCCGGCAAGCCTGTCACGACAATTCGGTCAAGCTCTGGCGCTGCTGGCACCGCGACTGCTGCATAGCTGCTGGGTGCTCCACGAGTCTTTGGGCGTGGATCCATCTCATCACCTCTGCGTTTTGCTGCATCTGTCATTGCGCCCTGAGACATAGCTCCATGGTTCATGGATGCCTTTGCCACCAGCTTCGTGAGCAGCTCTTGCTCTTCATCTGTCAATCCAACCAAGTCGAACTAGTCCTCCGCTGCTCCAGCTGCATCTTGGGCTCGCACACAATTCTGAGGCCAAGCTGTTTCAAACAAACTTAACCAAAAAGGAAAACACCGAACCAGCAAAGCTGTTTCAAACAAACTTAACCAAAAAGGAAAACACCGAACCAGCAAAGCCCCCCAAAAGGAACCTCCACCGGAAACTGCCGAGAGCAAATCGCTCGCCAAAGCCCACTTCACACAAGCTTGAGCGAGAACGCCTCACGCTCTCACCTTCCACGAACTGCGTTCAACGATCCTTCGAATTACCACGTTTCGCTTCACGAAAACAACTCCAAAGAAACATTCCAAATGCACGTGTATTTTTGCCATTTTAAGGTCCTTCTTTGGAACCAAAAAAACTTTCTTGGCGTACATTTGTACGTGCACAAGAAGTCACTCACAGCGGTGTGCGCGCACCTGTGCATACATGTCCTATGGCACGCTTGCTTCTATGATGCTCACAAACACCCACACAAGATGCCAATCTTTGGGCAAACCATAAGGTGCCATACCCAAGGTCGTGACAACTAAATCTAAGCTCCAAGCTAAGGCCACAGCGATCTAAGGCTCCGATCTAACTCTAGGCTCCATACGCTATGGTCTCAACCACTAAGTTGGTGACACACACATGTCCTACGTCCTCTCACGGATTCTTCCGTGCTTGAGTGACTGCCCGAAGGATTGCTCTTGCAAGTTGCCTCGAATACGCTGCTGTTTTGCTGAAATCTACGTCGTCCATGGGCGCATGCTGGGCGCATGCACACGATCCAAACCTTCGACGCAACGATTCTGTAAACCCTTTGCTTGTCGAGACAAAAGCTAAAGCCTTTCCTACTGGTAGGTTGTTCTTGCTCACAACACCCGTTTGACATAGGTACACTTTGCACACTTGGTTCAAACCTATACTGAGGCCCAATGACATGGACATCCGTTGGGATCACACTGGACAGATGACATGGACATCCGTTAGACCACCAATATGTATACGCCCTACATGATATAGACACGGTGTGCACATCAATACGTTTTTGTCAGGCTATGTCATCCTGTCCGAACAGTGAAGGAAAGTCTAAAGGTGACTGTGAAAAGAGTGGTGCAAAATATTGCAAAATCATTCTGCCCCAAGCTGCAAACCCTGCAGAACGCTCCTTTTCCCATCATTTGCAATCTCATCAATTCAATCAGATCTCAGCTAAAATCAGGAACCCCAAGATCATATAGAATTCACTATATATACAGCCTGAATCGTTTATATAAACTTTGGAAATGAAATATTGGCTTGGCATACCTGGTCATCAATCCTTGCAGGATATGACCAACATTCCATTGGGCCATGGGGGTTCCACATACACAATGTCCGGAACGCGCGCCGCCAGACAAGGCACCTCACCCAAGCTGCCAAATGGGACTGCTATTCCAAAGGTTACAAAAACAATATCATTTGGAGAACACACTTGTGTTGACCGGCGCAAGAGAAGCAGGATGACATGGCACCTGTGGGGAACTGCTGGATTGTGGCTCCAACCCAGCCTGTACATCCCATTGAAATGAGGAAAACCCAGACTAAAAGCTCCCAACATCTAGATGTTATATATACATATAGATTGATTGTACAATCCAAGGAGGTTTATGAAGAAGAACTCTGACATTTTGGTATCCCTTGTTTAAGTTATAATATATATATATATATATAAACATCAATTCGGGTTTTCACTTCCACAGTGTGTGGACCGATTGCCACATGACATGGCATTGGCACAATGTCCGGAACGCGCGCCGCCTCATCCAAGCTACCAACTGGGACTGCTATTCCAAAGGTAACAAAACCAAACATTTGGAGAACACACTTTGTTTTGAAGAATGTGTTGGCCGGCTGCGCAAGGGAACCAAGATGACATGGCACCTGTGGGGAACTGCTGGATTGTGGCGCCAACCCAGCCTGTACATCCCATTGAAATGAGGAAAACCCAGACTAAAAGCTCCCAACATCTAGATGTTATATATACATATAGATTGATTGTACAATCCAAGGAGGTTTATGAAGAAGAACTCTGAAATTTTGGTATCCCTTGTTTAAGTTATAATATATATAAACATCAATTCGGGTTTTCACTTCCACAGTGTGTGGACCGATTGCCACATGACATGGCATTGGCACAATGTCCGGAACACGCGCCGCCTCATCCAAGCTGCAAAATGGGACTGCTATTCCAAAGGTTGCTAAACCGAAGCATTTGGAGAACGCACTGTGTTTATAAGAATGTGTTGGCTGGCTACGCATGATGACATAGCACCTGGTGAGAACTGCTGGATAGTGGCTCCAACCAAGCCTGCACACACCCCAGGGAAGATGTAGAAAACTCAGACTGGGTACCAACCAAAAGCTTCGAAGATCTAGATTCTAGACTCTAGACCTTCGGGGTTTCACAGTGTGTGGCTTGCTGGCCACATGACATGGCACTGGCAAGAACCGGTGACATGTACACTTCAACCGGTGGTCAAATTCATTCGCCTGTACAAGGTACCTGTTCACTCTTGGATGAATTTCAACTTTTCCAAATGATTTTCCCAGGCTTGCAAATCTGCTGGGGCTGTCCTACAATAGAGTTTGATTAAATGGCGAAGGATAGCCACCAAGCAACTGAATTCACTCCTGCCAACTCCCCACCTACACGTGTACCACGGTTCACCCGGAAATCTTCCGGACCAGAAATTGCCAGAAGGGTGTCGATGGATTCCAAGGCCTGTAATGCTTGGAAGCTTGGCATAGTCCCAATGATCCTTCTTGGACAAATCAAGCAACTTCAACCAGGATTCACTCAAATGGAATCTTCTTGTTCGATCCACATTGTCAGCAAAACCACTGGGCGCAGAAGACATGGCATTCTCTGCAGTATGCTCTGTCTGTTCACCTTCGCCGGCATTCTCTGCAGTATGCTCTGTCTGTTCACCTTCACCCTCAGAAAGCTCCTCGCGACAAAGAGCATCATCATCTGTGTTTGCTTCATCAATCCCATCGCTGAACATTTCAGCGTCAGCATTGTCCCAATCCATCTCGGCACCGATCATTTGGCAATCTTGTGGTGGGAGCATGTGGTTGTGTTCATCTTCACTCTGCTCTTCGTCATCTCCGTCCCCTTCGTTGTCCTCGTTCTCATCTTCGCCTGCCACGCAACATGACATGACAGTGTAAGTATAAAGCTGCACATTGCCAAAAAGGAAACGGACACAATCACAAGCTACACCTTTAAAACAAACATGTCATGAACCAGCCTCCGGTGTAAGCGTCTCTGAGCATGTCTAGACCAGTTGGCTCGTCCTTGGTGCTCAGCAGCGCAAGTCTCTTCTTGGCGTAGCGCTCACCCGAGATCCAATAGATGCCACAGCTGTCTGGAACCATCTCATCTTCCAATGTCATTGTCACATGGAGCTCCTCCAAGTACTTGGCACCGGTCTCCACTTGCTTTGCAGAAGCCATTTGCTGCTTCTTCTTGTCAAAGAAAAAGTTCATGTCACGCTCGTTCACGCTCCGAAGCTTGGCTTGCCATTGCGCTGGCTTCTTTGCACTGAGCAGTTTGCGATCACGACGATGTTGGCAAATCAAGCGCTCCACCCTGACAGATATTGCAGAAGGTAAGTATGCATAGTTTCCCTCAGAAAGTTCCACGGCCCAAAGCAATCTGTCTGTAGCTGGCGGCTGGACAACATCGTTCACAACACCACAAGACCGCAGCATTCCAGTCGCATCCAGCACTGCCATGGCCTGCTCATGGTCAAACTTTGGGAACTCTGGGTAGTGGCCATCACCAAAGTATCCCGCTGCTGTCCATGCAGCAGCAAACACCTTTGAAGGCCTCAAGTGCAGGTGTCATGTCATCTGTGCGCACTCCACTTTGTTGTATCCATACTATATGTGCAACCCTGTCTACATGTGTATATATCTCTATACATCCATACTATGTGCGCTCACCTATATATATATATATATATATCTTAGCTCATCTCAGACCTTATGAAGTCCAGTACCCAGTACCCATCTGGGGTCCTGACATGGATTGCCACGCACGAAGAGTTCTGTCTGGAAGTGTTTTGACATCCAGCTTCGGATGCGCTGGTTGGCCGGATGCTTTGATGGGCATAGAATCAAACGAAGGCCTGGATCGTAGGTCTGGATGAAACCCGGCATCTGAACAGTCACAAAGATCTAAACGAGCACGGAAAATGTGATGAAGTTGGTCGACGGGCTGTCCGCTCGCCGACCAACCGCCGACTTGTTGGTCTGGCAGGCGCACGTTGACATTTTCGGCCCATGCTGTTCTTGCCACATCCAATCCGGAGCTGGTTGAAAAGTATCCGGTCCATCCGTCAACCAGCAACAAACCTTCATGTTCTTTGCCAAGACCGTGTCGCATCCTTTGAATGGCATAGGAATCCGTATACAAGTGCTGGAGTAAGAGCAGCCATGTTTCGCCGTTCATGAAATGGGTCTTCCTCTCTGAGCAGAAAAGGAGCGCGTGACCACGGTTCTTGGTGTTGAAATCATTGACCATCTTTTTTGGAAGCATTCCCACTGGATAACACAGACCCAATGGGCCTGCGCTTCCGTCCGACCAAGAGGATGTCACTGCAGTGATGCTCAGGCGGCTTCCTTGAATGTTGTCAATTCTGCTGATGAGCCCGCCATGTTGCTTCTCTCCTCACTTCGTCCAAAAAACTCAAACCCCTATGAAGCGTCGCTTTTGGGAAAAAACGATGAGCATTGTGGATTTGGCTCAAATGACATGACCTCTTTAAGTGGACAAAGTCAACACCAGGACCACCAACTGTCACTCTCGAGCATATGACATGGCCTCACTATGGAACAATATAAAGCCTTGGTCAACGATAATCTCCAAGAAGCTGTTGTTCTTCTTCATCAGCACTGTCTTACCTGGTCTGAGGCTCTGCCTCCAGACTTGAT